ATCTCAATGCAGCAGATCGACTGCTTTCCCCGATCAAACGACAGCGAGCCGACCGCTTCAGCTCCCGGAGGAGGATCTACACTCACTGCGCCTAAATTCATATTATCAGGCATATTGATAAGTGCCTTCCAACCTAGGTGATAGACCTCCTAAATGTTTAATCTGTATTTTATATATTTTCAGCTGGATAGCTTTAGCAAAACTACCCCATTGTCAAGGAAACCATAAACATCCAGGAACCGTGGGTGGAAAGGCTACGAGACTGTCACCGAGCTGCGGCACCGATCGGAGAACAAGCAACGCAGCTTTGTATTTCAGGCCGAACTGGAAATAAAGCTCAATTATGTCACGCACAGTGGTGGACAGTAACGAAGTACTTTTACTTTATTACTGTAATTAAGTACATTTTTTGAGTATCTTTACTTTACTTGAGTAGTTATTTATTTGGGAACTTTTTACTTTTACTCCACTACATTTCAAAGACAAATATTGTACTTTGTACTCCACTACATTTCTAGGAAGCTTGTCGTTACTCGTTCCTTTTAGATCAGCATAGCTTTATAATCCGCTGTAAAAAACAGAAAAAAAAAGAAAAAAAATCCGCTGTTCGGTTTTTCTTTTCATGAAATGCAATTGGCCACAAGCTATGTTCGTCACAAAGGTAACCAATCACATGCGTAGCTTATAGCCTACGTCACACTCGTTAACTCTCGGTAGCGGAGCGYGCGCTCCCATCACTTTACTTTCATTTCAAGCAAGAACCAGACAAAAGAATTAGATGCAATGGAGACCACTGAGGAAATGCAAGGAGAGAAACCAGCACACCCATGGTCATATCTCAGTTCGATGTTCAAGGTTTTAGGACTTAAAAATAATACGTATCAATTCAAATGTCTTCTCTGTTTACCACGGGTAAAGTACCTTTCAGCATTCCATWACTCACCATCTAACCTGAGAAAGCACATTGAGGTAAGTCAGCAAACTTTTTTCTCACTAGTTTAAACGCTTTAAATGAAGTTGACTTTGGTTAGGGTGGTTGTGGTTTAATGCTGTGASAGATGATTGAAAAATAGCCGACCATTGTGTGCTAACTGCTAGCTTAGAGCACCGTGCGGGTGCCCCTTGGGGCTCTGCTCTCTGGATCCCTCTCGGGTCCTTGGGCTCTGGTCTTCCCTATGTCTGCCTCGTGTCTTGGGGTTTGGGTCTCCGATCCTCCACAGTCACTATTAAATATTCCATTGGAGAAATCTTGTTTAAAAACGCATGTTCACAACTGCTCACAAACAGGTGCTCTGATCCGGGGGTTTCTGACTGGTCACAGAGTGTGTATATATGTCTGTGTGTATATACTGACAATATTTATGAATGTAGGCATGTATGTATGTATATCTTTATATATGTATAGGTATGTGTATATATTTATATATGCCCTCCATGTATTTATCCATTTATTTTTCARGTGAGCGGACAGATGTTGGGTGTGTGGTCCTGTGTTTTGTTGGTGTATATTCAGTATACTTCTAATCGCTATTTCAGTCTTTCTAATTACTTCTCTCTCTGTTTTTCTCTCTGTCTCTATTTTCTCTTCACTTAAAAAAGGTCACTGATGATGAAGAAATAAATAAACTAAATAAACTAATATTTAGTTTCGTTTTCTACTGAAGTGACAAAAAAGAAAAAAAAGAAAATGTAATTTTTACTTTTACTTTGTACTTAAGTACTTTAAAATGCATGTACTGTACTTCTGAATACTTAAGTATTTTCAAAAGTAAGTACTTCAGTACTTTTACTTGAGTAGATTTTTGACTGAGTAACTTTTACTTGTAGTGGAGTAAATTTGACATTGAGTATCAATACTTTTACTCAAGTACTAGAGTTGAGTACTTTGTCCACCACTGGTCACGCACTGTATTTCCATTCTAGTAAACACACAGCTAGTCCAAAATGATCTGAAAAATCCTGTGAGGTATCTCGTGCGCACGACTTACTAACTGGTGGGAACAAGATAGTTTTTTTTCCAATCCATGTCCCTTTAGGGGCACAGTWGAAAAAATATCAATGCATCATAATTTTAATTTACCCCCTGAAATCAAAACAGGAAAACATACATACCATTTTTTGGATAATATTCTAAACTGTTTCAATTGTTTAGTTTATTATGTTACCTACATTTAAATTTAGCACATTTGCATTGTGTGATGTTTTTTAAGTGTGTTGTGTGTTAAGTTTCAARTATCTTTTTTTTGTAGGAACTTATGGACATTTGTTAATGATCAACTCAATGAGGTGGATGACTTTTCACCAATCAGAAATACAAAGCTTCTTTCTTATTCCACCCTCATAAACTGCACTCATCAGACAAATGTTCAAAAAAGGTCAAACAATAAAGGACACATGTTTCTACTCGTTACAAGAAGATACAAGAGAAAATATGGAAATGTTTTTCATCTTCATCATAGTTGGGGCCATTTCATGTGAGTTTTGATTTTTTTTTTTGAGACACAATCATTTTCTAATATTTTCTTCATGTTCACATACTTTCATTTATTAGTCATAGAATTTATATGGTTGTGTATTATGAAACAGTTAAGTATATTATGTTAAAGTCTCAATCAAACATGTCACAAGGGAATGAAAACAAAACAAAACTCTAACTTTTTATTTCTTCTTATAATTTTGAACATCCTAGGAAAAACTTAGGCTTTGGAATTTATCTTATACAATTTATCTAAACAAAACAATTTTAAAGTGTTCCTATATTTTTTTCTTATTCTGATAACTTGTCTCACAGTTCTCTTGCAGTTATTATGACAGGATTCTGAATACATAAAACATTAGGACATGCATTACAGTAAGGATTAAAACATAAATTTACAACACAACTGATTTTGGTTTTGAATAATAAAACATAATTGCAATGCAGCTATTTTTTTAGAAACTGTTGATTTTAATTCATAAGCTTGTATGGACATCTAATGACCTGTTTAGATGATTTAAACTATTTTGTTATGATTGATGATTTTCTGTTGTCCTTATTATCAAGTTCAGTTTTTCCAGTATTCAAGAGCATTTTATATTATGTTTACATTTAACATTCTGTTTAGTGTACTTGGTTTTTCTCTCTAGACATTTTTTTCTCAGCTCCCATGGTTGTTCAGCTCCACATAATTGGTTCTCACATCAACAGTACTAATGAGGGATGAAGCGCCTCTGACCTCTTGTAAAGAATTTCAGTTAAAATTTCCGGTTTTTTGAGTGTTGCAATGTTGAACTTTCCAGCAATGTCAATGCAAATGTGGCAACTGGTTAGTGTTTCAAAATAAGTGTTTGACAACACCACCTTGTGCTTTCACCCCAGGAGTCCTGCACACACACGCAAGGCACCCAGGCCCGATTCTACAGAAATGGAAGAGGTGGTAGTCCAATGTTAAAATATTTAATTTATTCACACCTCTTTAACAAGTAATTAAAATTGGAGGCAATGTGGTGAGAGTTAAGAACACAACTTGGCTGTGGCTTTTGGTGGTCAGCCAAATAAAAAGAAAACAAATCAATGTCAAACAAACATGGTTAAAAAAACAACAAAAATTCACCCCAACAGTGCACTGCAAAAAAGACCTACTGTGAGGATTTGTCTTGTCTTGTGCTMTGTCTCCCTCTGCTGTTCCTTTTGTGTTTCACACACACACACCTACCTTGTGAAAAATCCAATGTTCTTGTCGGAAGCAGCAAAATGGTGGATGCCAAACAGCTGCCTCAGCGTCAGGCTCTCAAACTGTTCCCTTAGCTGGCAGATTTCCTCCTGAATAATAACATTTACCTCCAGCACTAAATCCACAACTGCAGAGTCTGAATTAACGGCATAACCGTGATCCTAACGTCTAGTCAATACTGGCTGTTGTGTTAGTTTCCTCCTCGCTGTCCTCTGGAGGTGGTCTTTGCTCTCTCRGGTCTTGGCARTGAAGAGCGTAATTGTACAGCTCCCTTCTTTAACCTCCATCTTTCCATTTCTGACGCTGGCTCTTCAATATCCTCAGGTTTGAAATGCCGACTACAAACGCGAGTGTGAGCTTTTATAACTAAGTTTTCCCTGCATATAGCCACGATCCATTGTTGTTGCCTTAACTCTTCATCAGGAGGAATATGGAGAAAAACTAACTACTCTCTTGTACCTATAGTTAGTGGACACAATGGCACATAACAGAACTCATGTTTTATACCAGTAGCTCGCAGATGCTTTAACTTTTGTGACTTTTTCATGATCTAGTTTTAGGAGCTAACGCTAAAAACAAAGCGCATTAGGCAGGACACGGAAGTGATGTTTGTGGCCTGAATTTTAACCAAAGTATGACACTAACAGCTGTGGCATTTAGGCTATAGACCATTCTGGAATCTGGAGGGGGTGTGGGGTGTGAAGGGCCTTGTTTGGATTTAAAGAGACAGCTTCAAAATTAGTTGATCGCACATCTCAGAACAGGAGTGAAAGAGGTGCTTATTTAGGTAGATACACATACACACATATAACTTCCATCAATTTACCCAGCATCCTTTGTACCTACACAGTCTTTTTTAAAGGCAGCATTCTCAGCTCCTATTCTTCTACTCTACAGCAGCTTGACCATCTACTGTAACAGCTGTTGTTGCATGCAACATGCTCACTTGCTCTTTCTGACTGGCTAAAGTAATAACAATTTTCTTGCAACATTTTTTTCACTACTGGTTTGTTTTTTGTAAGATCCTAAAATATCCTGTACTTTCTCTATGCCCCCACCTGATTTATTCAGCTCTAGCCTGTACATTTGTTGTCTTATTGCTGCTGGTATTTTGCGTCTTCTCAACACACTAACCTAAAACACTTAGCTTAAACAAATATTTAAATCACTGCAATAGGCACAGTGCCAACTACCAGTATTATAAAAAAATGTTGTCAGGCATGCAATGATTTGTTGGTTTAGATTTGTTAAACATATTTTGTTAACAATTTTGTTTTCTCTTTGTAGGTTTATCTCAAGGAGATGGTGTGTTACCAGATGGTCAATATAATGCATGTATTGGTGAATCAGTATTGTTTGAAACAAATCTGCATCCAACAGAAAAACCATTTGAGACTGTGGGATGGAATTTAAATGATGAAAAACCTGTAATAACKTCATGGACTAGCTCAAACCTAACTGGAGAAGGGTATGAAGGCAGGATCACTCTTAATAGATCTACTGGATCTCTGGAGCTCAGAAATCTGACACGTGGAGACAGCGGAAAGTACAGAGTTACCATCATAATAAATGGTGCTTCTTCAAAACAAGGGCGCACTAGACTCAATGTATTCGGTGAGAAGCTTATAAACTTTGTATTTTTATTGCATAATGCCAAAGGTTTGGGTATGCCTTCTCATTCAATGTTTTTTTTATTCCATATTGTAAATTAATACTGAGGTCATCCAGACCACGAAGGAACAGTAAACTTAAATGTGTTTAACAATCCAACATTTGTTATTGGTTTTAATGCTGTGTTCACACCAAACGTGTTTTGAGCATCAGGTTTACATGCAAAGTCTATGGTGGATGCACGTCAAGGAGAATTGGGAAGTGCTGTGGGTTACGCATGTCAAACGCTGGAGTTGGACGATCTGAACTTTTGCAGCATGATGTGGAGCATCAACTAATCAGAGAGACTCTACTGTGTGACATAGTGACACATTTTCCGACAGGATGGTGTCCTGATTGATGCCTTAACTTGAGACAGATGGACAGGAGATCTTGAACTGATATCGAGTGCCTGTAGTCTGTGTCCTGGAAGGTGATGTGGGCACCGATACAGGTCAGCGGCTCATCAAACTGCACTTGGGACAAAAATAGTGCTGAAAGTGAGCTTCGTCAGCTTGCAGCTCCTGGGTGGTGAAACAAACTCAGAATGTCTCTGAATTAGCTGGTAAATTAATAATAAACTAATTATCTGGTGAGCAGGATGTGTTCTTGCTCTCAGTAAATAAAGCAAAGCCACTTTCTTTATTTAATCCACCATTAAGCAGAAACTGGTAGAGGAGAGACTGGCAGAGGAGGAAAACAAGAGGGTCTCGACGTGCTTGATGAGTGTCTGACCACAAGCGTCCAACTTGTGTTGGACGTGTTTTTGATGCTCAAATCACATTTGGTGTGAACACAGCATAAGATTTTCCTTTGAAAGCAGCTGCTTTATATTTACTCATTTCAGTTGAGTAGAACCTGATGACATAATTTATTTAAGTAAATCCAATGCAAATGTTTTGATTTTTTTTAAAGTGGACAGTCAAAGCACTAGAGAATTACAGGAATAAAATGAGTGAACAAAGCTGGACAATCTAAAGATGGGGACCTGGAAAACAGTAAATTTAAAACAATGAAACTGCAAAATGTTCATGTCCATTTAAGCAAACAGCACATTGTGAATTTAGACACTGTATCACTTTGAGCAGGATCAATGGTAGGGCAACTTCCTGTCATGCAACATGTGTCCTTGAGCAAGACACCTAACCTAACTGCTTCCTTGGCACTTAAATAGCTGCATGCTGCTCCACTTGGGTGTTTCTCACGTGGGATAGGTCAAATGCAGAGCAAAAATCTCATTGTATGGAACCATGAATTGATGACAATAAAGAACATTTACTTTTGCTACACAGCCATCTACAGCAAATGAACTTTGTGTTCTAAYACAGTCAAGGGTGGGTTTGCTGCAATGTTTTGTATGCAAAACAAATTCTATTACACAGAAACAGACAGTGTCCCAAGTAATTTTAAAATACTTGGCAATTTTTTGTGCCCTTCTTATGGTCCCAGTTTGAGCTTTTGTTGGCTTGGTTTCCCCATGTTAAAGGGACCCATGATTAGTTGTAACATTAAACTTTATTTGATGAATGTTTATTTTAACTGTAAAATAAAGACTGTAAAAATACTGTAGGCTGTTTAGTTTTTATCATTTTTAAACTAAGTTTAAAAATACATTACAGGGATGGGGCCATTTTATTTACACACAAAGCATTCTGGGTAAATGATGATGTGGATAGGTCCTCAGTGTGAGGCTGCTAGCGAGCTATATCCACCCTGAAGGTTAATCTTGGACAATATCTGACAATTGGCTCTTTTAAATGAAACCAGAGTGTTGACAGAGAGGAGGAGGTAGAAATGACTCAGCCTGTAACTGAAACTGTGGATGGAGGACCTCAGTTTAGCTTGCTAGTTTGTCACACTAGCACCGAGCTAATACATATAAGGCAATATAGCGTCGGCGCCAGCGCAAAGGCTAACAGGCTAAGCTGAGGTTCTTCATGAAGCAGCTCTGTTGTTATTTTTTTAATCACCATTTTAAACTTTTGTGCACATGCGTGTGTATGTGTTTGAATGTTTGCATTTTGTGAGTGTGTGGACTTTGGTTACAGCTTGTGTCAAAAAAAGTTTAAAAAATCATAAAAAAAATATCATTTTTGTCAGCTCTATCATAATATAGAAGGTTTTGTTTAAGGGTTGTATTGTGTTCCTGGAAAAAAGAACAGATGCCAGTTCTGTATAATCATTATCTCTATCTCCTCAACTTCCCATGGTGCAATGAATTCACTGACAATGCTGTTTGTGGCCTTGTTATCTGACATTATCTGCATCAAAGTGCATCTGCYCTGTGTGAGATTTGTATTATTATTATTTTATTGTTGTTTAAGATTGCTAATAGTTAAAAAAAAAAACAGGTTGTAACAGTGGTTAGCCCTGTTGACTTATAGTGAGACAGTCTCAGGTTTGTCTCCTGGTCTTTTTGTGTGGAGTTGTTCTTTTTGAGTTTCTTCACACACAGCTTTCCTCCCACTGACCACATAACTGATAACTAAATTGTTACTGGGTGTAAATGTGTGTGGATGGTTGTTTCTTCTCTATCCCTGTGATGGGTACACCTCATACTGCATACTGCCTGTTGCACAATTGCTGCTCCAAATTGACATCAGCTCTCCTATATACTGTATGGTGGAAAATAAAAAAAAGTGGTTAAAGAAGATGGATGGATGGATGGATGGATGGATGGATGGATGGATGGATGGATGGATGGATGGATGGATGGATGGATGGAGGGATGGATGGATGCTCAGTATTACTTATTGCTAAAGAAGATCAACGATGTTAAATGATTTTAAATAAATCAAAAATTCTATTTGAAATACTCGTTTTAAACAATCTGCATAAAATATTGAATTTTATTTACTCATAATTTTTATATGCTTATATCCCTATATATTAATCCATCCAAACATTTAAATGTTTAGATATCTTAGGATTCTCAATTTTTAATTAATACCCGTCAATGTGATAAATAATCATGATTTTTATCTTGTCCACCCCCAGAGCCAGTCTCCAGTGTTTCAGTAACTCCACAAACTGCAGACCTGGTTGAGTTCAACAGTTCTGCTCGTCTGTCCTGCTCCTCCTCTGGATCTTCTCTCTCCTTCCTCTGGATGAACAGCAGCTCTGAGCTTACAGCCAGTGACAGAGTTCAGATCACTGATGGAGGATCCACTCTGACTATAATCAATGTGACCAGATATGATCAGGGACCATACAGCTGTCATGTGTCCAATCCTGTCAGTGCTGCCTCCAGTGATCCAGCAAACCTCTCCATTAGTTGTAAATTTTTGCACATAGATTCATTT